TAGAATTATTAAAAGATAAACTTATATTGAATGGTTATAATAATTATGAAATTAGTGAAGCCTTTAAATTATTTTATAATAAATTTCATAAATTATTATAAAGTAAATCATTTACAAATAACTTGAGTACAGTTATTTCTAACTTGAAATATTAAATTAATGAGAGGTCGCTAGCATATAAAATCTTATTATAAAGACTAGCATTAACTTTATAATACTTTCAGTATTTCTGGGTTGGAAAGGCTAACTTTGTTGGTGCATTCACTTGTTGGCACGTACATCTACATGTACAATAAATAAGTTTTAGGATATATTATAATTTCGTCAGAACTATACAGTGCTGAGTGATCGCCTGTATGCTTTTGATGTAATACAGTTTATTTGAAAAATTGTATATATATACATACATACAGTGTGATATTTTTAAAGTTAGTTTTTAAACACTGAAAGCTTGCAAAACATTAAAAACCAATAGGTCTCATATTTGTGATAAATGTTAACTCCAGATGTTTTTATTTTCTATTTGAATATTTTTAAAATTTTGAGGTTAATGAAATTAAAGAATATTCTTGTGTTTAAAGTTTTGTGTGTAACTAAACGTAATTTTAACAAAACGTTTAGAATTTGCTTCGTACTTTTCAACTAATCAGTTTTGTACATGTGGTGAGGTAAAATGCATATTTTTGTGTGTTTTAAATCATTTTGAATCTCAGGTGCACATTGAATATTTTCTTTCTTCTTCAATTACTAACATTCACAAAGGACATTGTTGTGTAGAAAATATACTAATCACTAATGACTAAGAGCTAAGCTTTGCAAAAAAAATGTTTGTCCTTGTCATATGTTCCATGAATAAACAAGATTTTGTCAGACTGCCTTGATAAACAGTATCATGTCAAATACAATAAAAACAACCTGTTCATCTGGGAATCAGTTTTTGTGTACCTGGCTTTACAGGAAGACGGTCTTCTTGAAAGCAGTACTAGTGAAATGCTGTAGGAATTGTAAACTAATTGGAAGTTCACACAAGTTATATTGTTTCAGTCATTGATTTGTTAGGAACAAAATTCTAATTTCTTTTTTTAACTAATTCACAAGATGCATGATGGTTTTTAACCTGTCTAAGTAGCAAGTTTTTCAAGTAGTCTTTTGAGCTTTGTTTAAAACAAAAACACATCTGAATTTGTAGTAGGGACTTGAAAATAATGTAATTAAGTGCTTGGAAATCTCTCCTTCCTCTCTTTAAAGACTGAATGTAGGTATTCAAGAATTGTAAAATGATTTTAGACTTTAGAAGTAACATGCTAAATATGTGTGAAAATATTAAAAATTAGATGGTTTTTGCCTTTCTAACAGATCAGCGAATTACAAAGATTCTGAAGAAGGGCCTCGAGGAAACTTTGCAGAACACTACAACTTACGTGATGACATTAGTGATACTAAGGGATATTCTGAAATTTGCAATCCAAGAAAATCTTGTATGTAACTAACCATATAATTTTTTGCTTAAGGCACCTAAGTAAATTACAAATTCTTTTAGTTGACTTTTTATAAGCAGTGATAGTTGATAAGGTACCTGTTGATTATTAGTTATTTTTGAAAGTATTAATAGTTGTTAAGAGATCAATTGACTGTTGCTGGTTACAAAAGCAGTGATAGCTGATAAGGGACCTGTTCACTGTTGCTACTTTAAAAAGTAATTATATTTCATAAGGAACCCATTGACTTTTGCTTACTTTTGTAAAGAGTGGTAGTTGGTAAGGGATCTTTTAAATAAAAAAATATGAGCTTCTCATTTCAAGACATTTAAAAGTTAGTTACTACACATCAATAAGTTAAGTATTTATTTCTTCCATTTTCTAAATGCTCTCTGGTATGATTTTAGTGATTTAATGTAGATGAAGGGTGAAATTCACTCTTAAGCTTACAAAGCTATATTAAAATTTCAATAACCAACAAACAATAAAGCAGTAGAGTGGGCTTCTGAGTTGACTTTCTTTTTAGATGTTAAATCATTTCTTCTAATTTGATTGAGATATTTGTAATTTTTGTATCACAAAAATTAACTTGCATTTGATGTTATATTGTGCAAATAAGAAAGTATTTGCATTTTAGCATTAGAATTGTAATTAAGTCTGGAAAATATGTTCTTCTGTCAGCCATGCCAATTCTAAAAGAAATTGCTATATTTGTATCTAAAAGCCAAAGTAGAAATAATTTTATTAAAATTATTCTCAGACTGTTGGATCAGCAGCCAAAGTTTTTAGTTCTTTTATCCCTCCAGGAGAGAACTCGTATAGTCCTATTATGGGAAGAGGATGTGAAGGATCACAATTAACAATGCATTCATCTTCATTACCTTCTTCTTCAAGTAAATTAACCTCTACTCCAATGCAAAATGCATCTTCCATTAATCTGTCAAATATTCGAACAGCATCTTGTGATTCATTTATAATCTGTGATAGTGGACATTCCTCTAGTAACCCTGTATCTCTGCTCAGAACTTCCAATTATCCAACTAATACTTCCTCCAGTACTACAGTATCTGTTGTCAGACCTGTAGCCATAAGACCAGAGAAAGTAACACAGCCACAGCAAGCAGTTGTTTTCCCGAAACATCGGGTAGATGATAATGTCACAAACTACCATCAGTCTGACAGCAGAATGGTTCTGGCATCATCCAGTAATATTGTTGATTTTGTGCCTGACCAGAGAGACAGACCAGCAGGACTTGAATTAGAAGAGTTTCTACCCGTGAGTTATTTTATTTCTTGTGTTGAAATATATTAACTCTCTCAGCACGGGCCCAGTCCCATTTTGTGCTTGTTATAGTTTTCATGCTATAACTTTTAAATTAAAAAACATTTTCATGAAATTTTGCATATTATTAGCAAACATTACAAGGCTTTTGTACACAAAATATCAGATTTTTTCATTAAGTTTTAAAATTTCTTAAGTATTGTTTTTCTCATGCCCTTTTTCTTTTCGAATGTTGACTATCCAACGTGCAAAGTAATTTTGGTTTTAAGATTAAAAATACTTTTATGCATCAGAAAACTTTCAAATTTCACATGCAAAATCTTTATGACCTGCAGATAATTATCACAAGTATTTTTTCGAAAAAAATTTATATTTTATTTGTTATTTTCACTACTGTATCTCTGTACAGGTTTGGTCTATTTGACCGACCTCATAATCACCATAAAAAATAGGATATAAGTATAAATGATGCTTTTTTCATTCAGGAATGACTACAAATTATAACATGAAAACACAAATGTTTAGTCTAAATAGTTTAAATCTCATAACATTATACATCTATATATATTTATTATTTTTATTATATTGACCTTTCAGCCATGCCTGGCTAACATTACAGAAGTTGCAATGACGCAGTGCATGTGCACTCATGTTACTGTACCAAGAATATAAAACTGGCTTTTACAAAGTGACCTGTCTTGGCTGTGTTTTAGTGAGCTTGTATCTTGTAAAATACAGTCACATTTCAGCTATAATACATTATATATGTATATACAGTATTACTATTTACAAATAAGTTCTTAAACTTATTTATCTTAAAACATAGAACAGTAAATAATGAAGTATAGCAAACAATTATCTCTTCTATTTACGAACTTTATACTAATTTGCTGCTTGCCATAGGTTGCTAAGCCTTATAAAATTATGTATGTGGAGGATGTAAAGCAAAATACATTTTTTAGGTTTTATATGTGTCTTTTGAAATAAAAAAATTCATAAATTATTATATCGATACCATAGAATTCCACTGTAATTTATCAAGCTTAGTAACTAAGTTGTATTTGGGTATAAAAAATATGAAATTTCAAGCAGACTAAAGACTCAACTTACCAGCTTGTAGTTTTGTATCGAAAGAACAAGATGTTGGCATAATACTTGAAACTGGTTGAGAAAGCCAATTGGGTGACATTCTGAGCTTTCGATTGGTTATTCACACGTCATAGACAGAAGTAGGTGTATGTTAGCATTTCCAAAAATAGAAAGAGGTGGGCATGACCACTGTGTTTGAGTCAGTAAATGTAGTGATATCTCAGCAAATAGAAATAATAGGAGGTTCTTATTTTATATTTTAGCTTGTCAGTATAGGTAATTTGAGTTCCTAATTTGTAAGAAACTGTAGGTTTTGTATTTTGACATCACAAACATATAATTTGAACCAGTGCTGCATTCAACATACCATGTGACACAAAAATATTGATGGGTGTGTTTTTTTAATATGTACTTTTAAATTAAGAAATTAAATAATGTATAATACTAAAATTTATATTATAATCTACAGTTAGATACCAAACTTACTGACATAAATTAATAAAATAGTGGTTGAGTAAAATTTTGAACGTGAGTCGACAAACACGATAACATGGCCTTTGACCCGTGTGGTGTGGGTTAAAGAATTTATGCTTTAATATTTCTGAATAAAAATACAATATCTCATGCACATTTCATTTACAGTGTTTACATTTTTACACAGAAATATTTTAGTATTCTAAAGAAAACAGTTATGCCATCATGTACACTTGCATAACTCATAACTTGGAAACCTTGTAGAAATATACATGGATGTGTGCATACATATGTGTGTGTGCATGTAGAAATATATATATATACATTGAAGTAATAAAATCTTTAGCTTGAGTATCCAAATATATAGAATAATATATTTTATATTTGCTCAAATTAAAAATATTTAATTCTAAGAAAAATAACATCTTATTTAATGAGATGTGTTAAAAAAAAGTAAAGTTTTGGAAGAAAAATTTTCTTGAAAATTTTAGAAAGTAATTTTATTATGTACTTGTAATGTTCTTCCAGTCTTCTGTTTATGTTATTGTGTGAACTGTGACTCAAATTGATGATTTTTAACTTGAAAGCTTCCTTTGGGAAAAAGAGAAGAAGAAGGTTTAGTGGTAGTGAGAGTGAAGATAGCAGAGGTAAGGTCAAAGATGTTACCTATGGTTTCTTTCATTGGTTTTTACAGAAAAGGTTTTTGTCTCAATTAAAAAAAATAAATGCATAAATAAGATTATGTTCCATTTTAACTCTTAAGTGTAAAATTAAAAATATTTGAACAATTTTTACCATAAAATGGTTTGAAATAAACCCCTGTCATATTAAAAACATAGTGAAAGGTCCTGTTTGTGATTCAAACACATATGTATATAATGTGTAAATATTGGCATTGATAAGCCACAGAATATATAGTGTGTGTATGTATATATATTAGAGCTTGATCATTAACTTGATAAATTAATATAACGAATTACTTATGAACATCAATTACACCAATTGTTATTTCATGAAATAACTTAGCAATCAAAATTACAATTAAATCAATTAATGTCACAAAAATGATCAAAAATAGTACTTTTGATATTACTGTTTTTGATTACTTCACCTATCCAAATAATTGAATTATGGCCAATAGGATTTCTCATTATTATTTTCACTTAATTCTAGTTCTAGCTTAATGGATTATTGTCGTGACTCATGGAAATAATAAACTTATTAAAATTAGGGTTTTTGATTATTACTTTTTTGGTAATTTCAACTATTCAAATAATCAAAATGTTGCCATTATGATTTTTAAATTCTTATTTTTTGTAAATCACTTAGGTTTGTTCAGCTTTGGGTTGGCAAGGCCAGGTGATTAGGGGGTTGCTTTGTGATTTGAAGATCAGGGTTTGATTCCCCCCTTTGTCATTGAGGCATTATATTTGTTTGTTTTTGAGTTATAGCAAAGTGTAAATTTGTTTGTTTTTTACATTGTGTTATGTTTCTCAATTATAATTACATAATTGTATTTTTTTCAGTGTTGAATAAAATGTAAAATTGACAATGTGTTACATAGTAAGTTATAATTAATCAATTAACAAATACCACTAATTGCCCATCTCTACTACTGGTATAATTGTTTCAAACAATACTCTGTATGTTGTAACCTAACTGGACTGATGAACTCTAGAGCTGGTTAGTTAGTAGAATTTGCTAATTAATTAATTGGTGAGCTGACTGATTTATTAATTACATTCAGCTAATTGATTTTTGTCACATGAGACTTGATAGGGGGAATAATCAAAAATAGTAATTATTGGAAACATCAATTTCAAGTAGTTGATATTTTTGTGAGCTATGGCACTAATCAATTAAGCTTAATAACCTTTAGGTAATCACAAATAATAATGAGAAATCATAATGGCAATATTTTGATTACTTGAATAGTGGGAATAATCAGAGATACTAATTTCAGTCAGTCGATTGTTTTCGTGACATTAATCAATTTAATTGTAATCTTCTTTAATCAGCTGTTTTATGTGATACGAACTGATCTAGTTGACATTTACAGGTGATTGATTATTTAAATCAATTGAGTTGATCACTGACAGCTATAGTCCTCTAGTTTGATTTTCTTTAATGTCAGTTTAATTTCACAAAGTTAAAAAGTCCTGCTACAAGTTTGGTACTTTTGAAATTATTAAATGCAAGAGCCAAAGATCTGAAATTATGATAAAATATATTTGTTAATCAAACTATCATTCATATTCCATTGGTGTCAGTTTTATTTCCTTAAAACTTCAAAATATAAATTTCAACCTTTTTTGTTTTTGCTGAAAGTTTCCAAAGAATGAAGCCACGAATGCAAATGTCACAGGAGTAGATTAGAAACTAATTATATTATAGAAATTAAAAAGCTAGGTGTGTCCTGTGTTATCTTTCATAATAACTTACAATTTTCAGGTTGGAAAAATTTGATAATATCTAGGGCCTTAAATGTTCTGGTGGCAAAGTAGTCAATTTTAAGTTAGGGTAAAGAAGAACCATTAAAAAAATAAAAATATACACTAAGACAGTTGAAGTTATAAATCTAATTTCACAAAGTAAAATTCATACACTTTTCTTTGAGATGGAAATGAAACAATTAATTATGAAATATTTCAAGGGTAATCCTTTAATACTGTAAAACTTTCTCTATGTAGATATATTATTGAACATAAGAAAGATTGTTTTGCTTGATTCATAAAAAGAATAACATAATAAAAATTACCATTGTTATTGGGCCAGAATAAATTGTTACAAGTATGACTGTTAACATTGCGTTAATCAGAAAATTCAAAAATCCATTTACTAAATATGACAAAAATCACCTTCTTAACTTTATAACCACATTCTTCCAGATTAATGAATAAATTCTGACACAATGGTCAAGCAGGTTTTAGTAAATTTATTTACTTTACAAATCTTATACAAACCTAGCAGAAATTTCAAAACTTGTGTATTATAAAGCAAGTATGGCAAATGAAAGAGAGAACATTGTTCTGCAACTTAAGCATAACCCATTTTATAATAGTAGGTTTATTTCATTTAATTAATCTGCTAGAATATAGAAAATATGAGGCAGATTTTTTAATAGTTTTTAACTCTTAGGCTTTTGTAAAATTATATTGTTTTTAAAGTTATTTTTATATTGCTGAAAATTATTTCTAAAATGAGTAATCATGTGACGAAATTTGTTTTTCTCATGCAGGGCCATTTTCTTCAGCTTCTGGAAACCTAAGACTGTCTGATCCTTCAATGTCTAAGATTTATAACAGCTCTTTCAAAAACAATAAACCAGCAGAGGTAAGTGTTTTTTTGCTTACTTGGATTATTTTACATTTTTTATAGAAAAATGTTAAGAGGCAAATGTTTTAAGTTAACACCTGTAGTCAAAGATGTCTGAAAAAATTTAATTTTTTGGAATAAAATTAAGACTAAACTTAGTAAAACAAAACATGTTTTACAACAGTGTAATACATTTTTTACAGAATTTGTTATAAATTTTGTGAAACTTATGAGTGACAACCAAGATGTTGAACTGGTGACATATTCTAAATATTTCAATCTCATAATAAGTTTGAACATTTAGATTTATTGAGTTCATAGCTGTCATTCAATAAAAGTTTAAAGATATGAGTTCAAAGAACAAAAAAAATTATTGAAAACATTCAGTTAGTGAAAGACAAAAAAATTCTGATACAGTAGTCAAACTAACTGTTTACATAGTTCATTTTAAGTCATAACATTTTTCTTAGTTTATATGTAACTACATGGTCTCACTGTCATCATAGGTTACATGGAGCTGCTAGTTAACAAGACTTCTTTTAAATTTCTGGGCAAAGCATATTAATTGTTTTGTCCTTGTCCAGGTTTGTCAGGATTAATGTGTAAAAATATTTCAACCATAAAATGTTTTAAAGAAATTACAGAATAATCACATGAGTACATTATCTCTTTGATGCCTTGGTGGGTGCAGCCTACTTCAAAAGTAAAATTGCACAATACCCCCAGTGGCTCAATAGTAAGTTTCTGGACTTATGACATTAAAAATTGCGTTTTGATACCCGTGAAGTGCACAGCACAAATAGCTCATTGTGTAACTTTGCACTTAACAATGAACAAAACACACAATCTAAAAAAATTAAGATAGTCTAGAGTTGAAATTTTTTCAATGAAAAAGTTTTACTTGTTTAATTTTATACATAAAAATAATAAAGAGAAATTTTTAATTTGGGTTGATTTCAGTGAGCTGCCAATGAAATCATTTATGTTTATGAAGTTCCTGATTTTTTTATGAGCATAGTGTGGCACATTTAGCCCTCTAGGAGGAAAATCATAATAGATTTTCACAAAAAGTGCTAATTTGTCCTTCTGACTTGTTTACAAATGAAGTTTTATCAATTTTTAACCAATCTTTGTTTTTCAACCTCAGTTGTCATGTTGTGCAGTAAATGCTTATATGTCAGCTTTAGGAAGTCGAAGATTCTGATCGAAACATCTAGTTAAAATTATTTTTTCCATTTTTTTGAACTATAAAAGCGATTACACTTTCATTTCAGCAATGATTTATGTAGAGGTTAGAACAAAGTGCTTGGTGATATATTGTGAAAAGAAAAATGCCTTTGAAAAGCTTCTTTTGTAATTGCAGCCCCTGATTTTTTTTCTTAAGCTTGCAAAAATCATGCTTTCATTTTATACTCCATTTGAAGTATGATAGGAACATAACTGTTTTGTATAGAACAAGATGAGATAGGCTTAGTTAAATAATTTTGCATTGACCATATCAAGTTTCATTTTGTTGATGAGACTTGTTTTAGGCCTTGTTTGCATTAGAGCATATTAGCTCTTAAGTAACTGCTCAAAAGGTTGAAAAAAATCACCAGAAATAAATGTAAAAACAACTATATATAAATGAATATCAAATGGGTTTAAAACTTCTAATTAAAATTAAAAAAAAGTCACCTTCCTATGAATTTGGCATTGTAAAAAAGTTATTTTTATTGTATGCCAGTTATTGTAAACACTGTAAAACTATCTTTTCTTAAAACAGAGATAAAGTTTACAGTTTTATAAAATAAAAACTATTTGAAAATTTTTAAAGAATGTAGGAAGGCTAAAAAAATCAGTAACAAAAAATCTACAACAAAGGTAAGCATTTTTAATTGTTTCTCAGAAAAAAATACCACAATGGTAACCTTTAAAAACTTCAAAGTTGCAAAATCTTACAAATATCACTTAAAAAATAAGATATTTTATTTTCAAAAGCTACATAAACTGTAGAAATTAGTTCTGTAGTGTCAGTCATTCAGTAGTTTCTTCTGTGTAATGCAATTTAACAAACCATATAACAGGTGTGTCGAATTGATGCTCCCGGGTCTCAGAGAGTCAACATTTAGTCTATGCAGCAAAGTGCATATGATACAACTGCTGAAATACAAAGGAATGTCTACCTTGTTTTTGTATGAGCCACTAGAGTATTCAGTTGAAAAAAAAGTGTTATTATTATATTACTTATTAAATCTCATCCCATATACTCAACAAGTTGTACCTAATTTAGGTAACTGTACACAAGATAATCCATAGAAGCTGTCCTTTTAAACAACCATTAATCATGAGTACATAAGCTGCTTCCCAAACACATTATTGATGGAAAAACAAACTGCAAAAATCTGTATAAAAATATCTTCTACATTAGATTTTGTTGTAACATAAGTTGAGATTTGAGTATAATTGTATGATTATGAGAAGAAATGGCAATATTCTGTTGATCATGAGATGATAAGGACTCGTACATGGTTCAATAGACAGTGGATGGGTGGCTGAGGATTGGAGAGTTGCTTATGTTACTCCTACTTTTAAAGAGGGGGATAGGTGATGACTTGGAAGTTACAGATCAAGTAGTCTTATTTTTGTAGTGTGAAAAATTCTTTGTTTTCGGATATTTATACTTAGCTTCTTGAGGGATGTTTACACTAGCTGTCCCTAATTTTGAACAGATAGACTAGAAGAAAGACAGCTAGCCAACAGTCTTACCATCAACTCGTGGTCTACTTTTGTCTAAAGGAGTAGTGAAATTTGATTTTCACCTTTATAATGCACCAAAGGCTCTAAAATGCAGAGTATTACTAGGGGGGCTGACCCTGACAATCGTAATTCACCTGAAAAAATCCCCCCCTTTTCTCACAGAAAGTAACACAAAACAAACAAGGAAGCTGGTGCAGGGCCTAATTAAAAATAAAGCACTGAATACTCGTGACTGAAAATTTATTTTTTGACAAGCTAAAACTTAAAGCATGAAATGACGTTATTTTGCAAAAGACATGATTTATCCCAATGTGAGTTTTGCCAATACACAATTCACGCATACACTAATGTGAGGGTGAATAAAATCAACCTCAGGTACAGAGTGTAGAGTGTTCAAGCCAAAAACAATCTAACAAATTTCACGTAACATTAAATTTAATTGTTTTGGAAACTTTCCACTGTTTATAATAGATAAATAAGCACTATGTTTAAAATTACTAGTGACCGAATAAAATGAAGATGCCGACTTAAATCGCCCACAGAAAAGCTTCAATTTCCTGATAGGGGTAGGAAATGCCAAACAAAAATTAAACATAAAAAATCAAAGGGAATGTCTAAAACCCAAGCTCAATGTAGCAGGCTGCTTGTTGCACTCATCACTGTTGAGGCAAAACAATAAATAAACTTTTGCAGAAATTTGGAGTTGTATAATTTGACCCCTGTATACTTTTATCCAAGCAAGGTCTGCAGTATTTGTTATTTTTAAGAAAAGACCTGCTGTTCAGCTGACGTACTTGCTTATCCAGCTTTAGATAAGTCAAAGTGGAACTGATTTTAACTAATACACAAACTTTATATCAAGAAATCATTTCCAGTCTGCACAGCAGTGAACAAAGTTTTGGGTAAGTTCGTCAAGATTGCAGTATGTCAGACTTTATACGATTCCAGCCCTTGATCTTGTTACTCAGGTGCAATGCTGTTTTCCATAGATGTTGAAAGTTCTCCTCACTTTGGAAACCTTGAAGTGTCATCAATGTCATGTTAGCATTACGTGTTGCTGTAATAACATCAATGGTTTTGCCTTGGAGATATTTGCTGAGGCTGTTTGTGTTGGAAAGAATGAGTTTCAGTAAGCACAAACCTATTATATAATCAAAGTCACAGATTGCATTTATAAGTGCTCTACTTTCTGACTAAGTTTTTGGATCCCTGTCCTCTGAAAACCTGGGCAACATTTTCACAATCCTCTCCAACTGCTCCTAAACAGCCTCCCATTGACACAACTATCTTGTCACACTCAATGATTTGAGCATCAAAGCAAGATGCTCACTATCCATTTTTATGTCTCCAAACAATGTGCACCATTTAGGGCTCGCTTCTAAGAAGTTGTAAAGACCCTGGATTGTGCCTGAGGTATTTCTGAAAGGCTCAGTGTGAGTCATTGTGTTCTGGAGTGCTAGTTTTAGCAAGTGACCATAGCAGCGAATGTAAATATCTAAGGGAGAACTAATTTTCATCCCAGTCGCTAATCTTTTATGAATGCCACTCATGTTTGAAGCACCATCAAAACTTGCTAACAATGTTTTCCAATTCCAAATTGAGTTCCGCGATGACTTTCTTCGCTAGCTCATAGTGCCTTGCCCTCAGTTGATTTTGTGGCATAAAAACTGATGAATAGCTCTGTTTTTCATTCCTCCAGTGATGAAACTCAAACACAATGCAACTTCCTCAGTTCTGCTAATGTCAGATGTCTTATCAATTATGATTCTGAAAAGGCGACTCAGCCTCACATCATTCATGATGTGTTCCAGCACGAGTTCATCAATTATTTGGAGAATCTCATTTTGTATTCTAGTTGACGTCCATTGGGCATGATTCTCTAGTTGGCTTTTTGGCTTGTCTTCCAGCTAGGGTATATCTTTACACCTCAAGTGAAGCAATTCCAAAAAATTCACCCAATTGTTGTCTGATATTCTACCAATCGTATCTTGTTTTCCTCATGTCCGTGCTGCTCAGTGTTTTATGGGGCATAAATATCACGCATTCAATGATCACTTTTAGGGAGTTGCGATTTTGCTGAACATATTGCGTATGCACAGTATCCAGTTGAGTGAGGTTTGCTTCTTACTGTTGGATCTGGCAAGAGCCTTTTTTTTTCCATTTCATAAATTGAAATGAGTCATTGTTCAGATATTCCTGGCACACATAAGATGAACTTTTGTTAACCAGGGACGCTACTTGTACAATTCTGACTCAAAATCTCTGATGAAATTTTCTTGACCAAAATTTTTCAGGTCTTAAATAGTCATTATTGGTTGCAATTGCAGATAATGTTGGATGCAGCAAATTTGAAACATGAGAGCTGGATGGCTGCTTTATAGATATAAACTCGAAAGCATTGGATGACTCATCCTCACTGTTATCTGAATCTTGATCACTGAAATCTGAAATTGTCACTCTCAATATTGAACATGCTGTCCAAAGTTCTTGGAACATCATTTTGAGAAGGACCTGCATGGTTTCCAATTTCTTATGCATGTAATCAGACCCAGTGCTTACTGTCATCAGTAGCTGTTGATCTTTATGTTCTTCAAATAAAAATATTATATTGCTTTTTTTTTATATTGTTGA